GTTTGCATCCCAACCATAAAGACCACCGCTATTTACATGAGAATCCGAGTCTAAAACAACACACTTAACTCTCTTTTTTTTTCAGAAAAAAAAGCTCTTATTTTTGTATCTTTATATTTAAATCCAGTAATAGACGTGCCGTGCAGAGACTCAATTTTAAGCCAAAGTGAAGCTCGGTGATGGATTCAGCCCTAAAGTTCAGTTCCCGTATAATAAGAGAATATGGTAAAAAATGAATCCATTGAATTTTTGTGAAACTTTTTGAATCCTTCAATGCATGTTTTTGTTTTTCAATCTTTTACTTTATCAATAAACATCTGTCTTATAAGTCATGAAAGATTTTAGTAGATGGAATATACAAGTTATTGGTCTTATTAAATTTGTTGGCTTATTGTAAGGAGATGTGATGGGTGTACGCTATTAGTAGACTTCTTCTAGATAATTTTTTTTTTATTTTGTCTTATTCCAAGAGTAATATATGTTCTTAGAGTGGGGGTGAAGTCTATTCCTTCATTCCAAGTCTATAAATGACAACTTGTCAATGATAATTTAGATTCAATGTGTTTAAGAATATATAAAAATTATTTCTACTTTGTTGTTATTCTTTTTTTGCACGACATGAGATGGGAATGAGAACTAAAACAAAATTTTTCTTAATAATTAATAAAATAAATTCCATATTAATTAAAATAGGAAGATATTTCTCCATACTTTCTGTTACACCCCCGTTAACCGTCTATGGATTTCCAACAGGAATAAGGCAAAGGAAAGCCTCGATCCAGCACTCACAAAACTCTATGAAAGTAATAGGAACCGTGCATAAAAGAAAAGGCAAGCAGGCAATTGAATTTACAGGTAAAAACCCAACCTCGTATTATAAACTCGCAATACAAGGAAATTACTCCAGAACTTGCACAGCACAATTCCCAAATCTCTCCTCTGGGTTGCTGGCTAAGTTTAACTGGGATTTATACAAGGGGACTGCAGTTATAACTGCCCTAGGAATTCAAGAAAACACGGGTACAACACTGACACACAAAAAGGTAACCGTCTGTAACCGTCCAGGCCACCTGTCCCGAGAAAACTCGGGTCCGTTTCCTGCCAGCCACACTGAAACCCGGGACTGCACCCAGCCGCAGTCCGGTTAACCATGCTTCGAGATTTCTCGGTCTTGTTCCACCCGTTTCAGCAACCATCCGTACCAACATACCGAATTCCCACAAGTCCCAGCCTTTCCCGAGGTTTTACATGCCGGTTTCTCCAAAACTCGGTAAACAGCAAACCAATGTCACAAAGTCCCACAACACCGTTCCGTTCCAGCCCAACTCAAGAGCCAACCAGACAGAACTAGGGTCAAGCATCACTTGACACTTGTTTTCCCGTATCACATGCATGCCGGCTGCGTGTGACATGGGGTCTAAGGATTTAGGGGTCTAACACACACACACTCTCTCTCTCTCTCTCTCTCTCTCTCTCTCTCTCTCTCTCTCTCTCTCTCTCTCTCTCTCTCTCTCTCTCTCTCTCTCTCTCTCTCTCTCTCTCTCTCTCTCTAATCAAAGATGTTGATACCTATTCGTGAAGGTGGAAAAAAGAAGCCATAATTTTAATTTGATGTAGAATGTGAGTGGACAATCCCAGATATTCCAGTCAAATAATAGATTCATAGTTTGTGATCAAAGTTACACCCTCTTTCTATAATGTTTCTTTCTGAATTCTCTTTAGAAAAGTCTTAATTGATCTTGTCCATTCCAATGACTGGCGATCGGCTGCTGGATGAAAAAAAAAACCTTAATTCGAAACCAACCTTCACACAAATACTTGAAGGTTTAAATTCAAATCCCATAAATATTATTACCAATAACAAAAAGACAGATCCCAAAAACCAATCCATTTTTTCAGAACTTACAGTCTACAAAGGAGAGCCCACTTTTCTTCTTACCGAGGAGGAAGATGAGAAACTGGCGGCTCCCTTAGGTCTGGAATCAGTTGGAAAATATTCTAAAGAAAGTCCAAAGATGAATCTCATACGTAAGAAATTGCAGACTATAGGGTTTAAAGGTAACTACTCATTGAACATGATTGATCATCAAAATGTCATTATTTATTTCAATTTGGAGGAATGTTTTACGTAGATATTGGATGAAGGGTGTATGGTATACTGACAATCATATTATGCGAGTATTGAAGTGAACTACAACTTTTAGCACGAAACTTGAATCTTCTATAATACCGACGAGGGTTTCTTTTGAAGGATTACCAACTCAGAAGGTTAATGAAGATTATTTGACTAAATAGGGGAGTTTAATAGGAAAACTTTTGAAATTGACTTCCCAACCCTCAATATGTCACGCCCATCGACAGTCAGGGTTTATGTAGAAGTTGATCTACTATAATATCTCCCTCACTGGATCCAACTCAGAGTAAAAGGTTTTCAATCTATACTATATAAAAATCTTCTGGAATATTGTATTAAGTGTAAGAAAATTGGTCAGTCTGAAAAAAATTGTTGTCATAGCAAGCTTGCTACGAAAATAGCACAATCTATAGCTATGAAGAGGAAAAATCTAGATTGTTCGTAAAAAAGCTGTAAAAGCTTCAAAGAAAGTTCTAAGCCAGCCAAATAAGAATGCATGGAAACTAAAGGAAAATGTAATGCAGCAACCAGAAGTTAAAAAAGAGATGTCAAATGTGTTATCATCTTCAGGGCTGACTCTAATAGAAAAACAACCAGTCCCAATCGATTTGTTTAGAAAAAGCCATGTTACTAGTCCAAGTAAGCGTATGCTACCATAAGATAAACTAAACTCCATTCTAGAAAAAAGTGCTGAGTCGATGAACATGAACTAGACACGGGATCTAGAAGAAACAGAACTGGTGGTGCTAAAAAAATGAAGAAGAAAAAAGTAGAATCAGAACTACAGGATCGACAACTTATTGTTTTAAAGCAAGTACTTGTTTTGATCTCTGATTTTAAAACTTCATCATGGTTTGGAATTTTGGTGAAAATGCAGGATCAAGATACAAGCAAAGTTCAATTAGATAAAAATGTATAAACGGATAACGAAGATGATTTAGAGGAGGATGAAGTAATTTATGTTGAAGCACTAAATGAGATGCAATCTTCAAGAATCAGAACAAAACTACTCCCATGTTACTATTCAAAAGATGCCGGTATAGCTGGAGATCAAACAAAATATGGAGCGAATGAAAATATAGAATTATATCATGTGATGGTGAGAATTAAAAGAAAAAGCCTCACAGACCAAGATAATCAAAGAATGTATGAAGAAAAGAAGGCATTGAAACTCACCAATTGGCAAAACTCCAAGGCGAACCCCCAATTATTTTTTCCTAATGATCAGTCAATTAATCTGGAATCTCTGAAGTATTTGATAAAGGGTCTAGACATCGACTAAACAATCTTATTTTTATGCATCTAGTTTCTTTGGTTATCATCTTGGAACCAATGCTTTTAACGAACAAGTTAAAAGAGTTAGCAAGATATCTAGGGTTCATCTCAAAGGAGCAGTGATATTAATGGTCACCTACATTAATATAACTAAAGGACATGGATCAATTGTGGATATCTAACATGAAAATTACATGAAATGAGATCCGCGACATGCCTATTTCTAACTGATTATCTTCATCTACCAATTCGCTTTATTTTTTAGTGAGATTAGCTAAATTTCTAGAATATAAACATACCGAGAACTATATACTTTATACTTAAAACTTTAATTCAGAATTTTTAATTTAAGTTGCAGTATTAATAAATTTTCATAAATTCATGAACCCTTAAAGCAAAACAATATTGGAAAGTCCCACAAAACTGCCAGATGACACAACACCTTGAGCAAGATACTCAATGTGTTTTGATCTGCAAAAATGAAGTTTGTCCAAATGTGCTTTTTAAAAAAATTGTTCATTCTGAACTCACTATCTAGCAATTAAGAACTTAACTATTTTCAATTATTATTAGAATGTACAAATTATCCAATGTTGTCACAATATTACTTTAATGGTGTTCTTAACACCATACCGTATTCGCAGGCTCGTGACAATTTCGCATCTACAACCCATTGTGAGATTATGCAAACTAGCAGTTCCCATATATGAAGTAGCTATAAGTATTTGTTTAACACTTTTTCAAGAAATAACTTTTCTAGTAAACATGTAAATGTAGCTTGAGAGGATCTAAAATATGTATCCAATCTAATTGAAGTTGAGATATTAAATAATCTCTAGCTAAACCAAAGTTTGATATGTGTGTGTGTACTCCTTAGTTCTTTTATGATACCATGTAAAGTTTAGACTACTACAAAATATCTAAATTTGAGTTATTTAATTATCAGTCTTAAACTCTCAGAGTCCTAGTGAACAGGTGATGTGTATGAGCATCACAAAATTCAGCTCAAAACTAAATGATCAATTTCCATTAGTACTAAGGGTCCATTTGGTTTGAACACGGGGTTTACAATGGGAATAGGTATAATAGCTAAAGGGATGGGGATAAGTTTAGAAATGCTATTTGGTTCATAACTTGAGTTTTTGTATCATTCCCAGTGTGTTTGTTTGGTTTGTTGAAATCAATCGGAATGAAATTTTTTTAATATTTTTTTACCCCTGATTTAAAAATTTATGAATGGAATTTTTAACTACACTACTTTTTTACGAAGTTCAAATTTAAGTACGTTGCTAACTAACATACTATATTGAACGGACTAGAGCTAAACAATTCATCAAAACTTGAGTTAAACAATTGCATATTATGAACATATAAAATTGAATTCAAGTAAACCAAATTAAAAAATTTCCAAAAAAAATCTTAAAGTATGTAAAGCAATATCAAATCCATTATCAAAATAATTCAAACTACGATATGATAAGAAAATCCTGCAGCCATTTATTCTTCAAAAACAAGAAAATCAAAAATAAAAATAAAAAGACAACCAAAATGAAATGGTAAAATAGCTGCTTCCAAGATTCCAACGAATAACTTAAATACTTGGCGCAGGAACAAGTAGACTGATCACGTAAAACCTTCGCATTTCAATGGGAAGGTTGAAAAGCTCATCAATCTTGTCTTTATCTGCAGTGAATAAGTTAGCTGCCTTGAAAACATCTCCACTTGGAAGAATAATGTTCATTAGTTCTGGAACCACATCTTTCGTTCTTTCTGCAGCAGCTTTTTCGCGCAAATTTCTCCCTGCCATAGCATTTGCCATGGTTGCAAAATTATTATTAAATCCCTCCACAAGAGTATGAAAACCAATATTGATATCTTGTAGTTACGCCCCAATATCCAAGGGAGCATGTGTAAATGTTGTTTTCTTTCTTTTTGCAACTTTCTCCCTAATGTTTGATGGTGGTACCTGTTTCTCAGGCCTATTCAAGGAAGTTGGGTTTCCCTGTAATCCAGAACTCACATTGTTGCTCTCTTCTTCAGATGAGAAATCATTTTCACCAGATTTATCACCAATTTCATTATTTTGATCAATCACCATTTTGCGAATTGTAATTTCATATCCTTGACCAACTGTTCCAGTAGCTCTATCTCTTCCATACACCAACTCAAGTTGTTTCAAGTATGGGAATTTAAATACCACATTCCTTTACCTTCCTTATGAGTCTAAATGAAATAAAAAGAATAAAATTATTTATAAACGAATGAAAGTAATTTAATTATAATAAAAGTGGATGTTTCCAATGAGCTTACCTGACAGTAGCTATCAGACCATTACTTTTCACATGTTAATTTTTGCTCCACATCATTCCGCTGAGAACCACTCTCTCTCAGCATGTCATTTATACAATGGAATTTTGACTTTAGCCATTTGATTTTTGACTCAAGATGAGGCGTAACTTTCTTGTGAAATTAGGCATTATGTCAAGAATTCTCTTTAGTACCTCAGTCATGTAGTTGCTTTTAAAATCACTATCAGTTTTCCATGAAAGATCACAAGCCATACCCTGAAGAACTTGTATCAATATTGCACTTCATCTTCTGTCCAAAAGCATCTATTTCTTCCACAACCTCGACAAGCATCATCTTGCTCCATCCTAGCACACCGATTAACATAATTAAAAAAAAAGTAAAACAAAGTTAAAGATTTTCAATAAATCAAATTCCTGAAACTTTGTAAAACAGAACACCACATAAATTAAATCACTGTTCAAAAAATCAATCAAATACTTGTAAATATTTAAGAAAAACAATAACATAATAAATCATCTCCAACTAAAAGCACGCATTCAAGGATTATGTCTGCCTCTCCAACTATTAAACATTTCATTGGCTAAATTATTTCTAAAATTGAGCCATTCTTGTGATGGGTTAATCAATATCACATAGTCTTCATTCTCGAGGGGGTCATCATCTTGAAGTTCATCTTCGTCAACTGGTTCTAGTTCTTGTGGATCAAAACTCATGTGCCTCCTTATCAATTATGGAGAAGACAACTTGCCAAAAGGATACACACTTGAGTTTCAATGGGGAAAAAAGATGGGGAGGCTAATATTTTCCGTCGCCCTTTTAGCAACCCAAAACATCTCTCAATCACATTTCTAGCCTTAGAATGTTTCATGTTAAAATATTCTTGAGCTGTCCTTGGCCGATGCCCCTGAAACTCGTTAAGATGATATCGCTGGCCTCGGAATGGAGATAGAAATCCCTCGGCATTACAATATCCAGAATCGACCAAATAATAACAACCTTCAAAAGTAAAACATGTATTAGAGTTTAAATGGAACAAAAATAAATACATGTTCATTTTCATATTTAATGAAAAATATAATACCTCGAGTTACTCTAAGACCATCAGGCCTACCAATAGAATCTCGAAGTACACGACCGTCATGTGTTGAACCCTCCCAACCAGGCAAAACATATATAAACTGCATATTTGGACAACACACGCCTAACACATTTGTCACAATATTGGCTTTTCTGGTGCGATATCATAGTTTTTCATCTGATGGAGGTGTCACTCGGATTAAGGTTCCATCTAAGGCCCCTAAACAACCCTATTATTTGAATCAGAATACAAAAAGTGAGTCCTTATCTATGGAAGTTCACAAAACCAAAAACAATTAACTCCCAAAGTATCTTGAAAGACTTCCAACGGTTGTCTTCACAATCTTCAGTGATAGGTTGAGGTCTTTTAAGCAATATTCTATGCAATTTCAAGATTGCTAAAAGGCAGCTGTTGAAGTGACGACTAATAGTTTCTCCGCTTCGATAAAACACTAGACCCGTTGTCCTATTCTTTTTATGATGAGCCAGCACATAAACAAAGAGAGCAACTATTTCCTCTAATGAACTGTTCTTTGTATCTTTTAAACCTCCGACATCTCTTACCATCTCACATAATAAACTAAATGTACGTCTATCCATTCGAAGCTAACTAATACAAATAATATCAGATAACTTAGTAAGCCTATATACCCAATTCATTCTCTCAAGCCTTATTTCTTCTTTAGTTTTCAGTGGGGGGTTTATGATGTGCAAATACATCAACATCTGCTACCAAGTAACGAAAACTAAAGTGAATACATTAACCAACGATGCCATAATACGAACATTTCGAATTAGTTTGCGTCGTCTATTAGTAACGGGGCTACGTGCCATAATATTCTATAGAGCAATAAAATTAAAACAAAATCAGAAATTACAAAAAAAAAATGCAACAGAAAACAAAAACAAATTTGATGATTTATAAGACAGGGCAGAATCCAACTAATTTAAAATAATTTAAAAAAATCAAAGGCTGAACACATTACTGTGAACTGATCTATAATTGAAGTGATACTAGGATTGTAGAACATAAGAGAAAAAGAATTTAAATTTAAAGAGGGAAAACTGGAACAAATGATTTTGGTAAAGATTTACACCACCGTTGATCATACTTTTCTAGAGAATAAGCTATAAACAAATGGAAGCACACCACCTGGACCACACTTCAAGCAAATACCACCCACCCTAATCACATGACAAGCTATTATTTACAAGCAGGAGCAGTAAATTCGATAAGAAAGAAGCCCCCTAGAGCTAAACGTGAACTTGCAGATTGAAAAACAAATACATAGTAGTTCTATTTCGACATGAAGTTGGTGAGGTTATACAAACTAGATACCTATCACAAAAAGGTTTTACGTCAAAGAAGTAAACGAACGGGAAATCAAAGAATCAGTTGTACACCATGGCTTGAGTTCTCCATTTAAATCCATAATTCTTCAATACTATAAAAACAAAGAACCGCCGAAGGAATTAGATCCAAAAGAAGCCCAAGTGTGCAACACATCTAACAAAATAATAGGAGAAAATTGACGTCAAGAAATCAATCAAATACTTGTAAATACACAAAAAGTAAATCACCTGTGACAGAGTCGTGCCTTCCGTCGTAACTCGTTAAGCCGAAATTTTTTATGATGCCCGTATGTGATCAAGGTTTCTCCTATCAGAAGAAAGGAAGAACACATGAAAACTCTGAATTAGTAAAGTTCATCAACGGCATACGGAAAATTGAGCCACCAAAAGCATGACAAAGCACAGAGAAACCAAAATCTGATTCGGAATTACCTAAAGGAGAGGAAGATGCTGTAAGGGGAAAACATGGAGAGATGTATCTATATATATACAAAGATTGAGATGATGAACACAACAAATTTGGAGAAAATTGGGGAGTGATTGAGACGACGATAGAGCGGGAACCATAGAGAAACAAGGCGGGGGCGGGAAAAGCATGGTAGGTCAGAAAAGTGAAACGAACAAAAAAAAAAACCCTCCCCAAGGTGGGTTTAACAGATTCCAGAATATTTGGCATAAATCCTAATATCCGCTTTAAAAACCGTAAAACAAACGTGATTTTTGTCAATCAGTCCATTCCTCCATTCCCAAATCCCCAACGCAAACAGACCCTAAATAGATTGTCTTTTGAATTGTTGACATTATAAAATGTTCTTCTTATATCCATCTAATTGAAGCTAAATGCGCCAAAAACATGCCATTATTACACTAAAAGAGTTTTTAAATGATAAAAAATAAAGTATCTTCATAATCACTGTTATCTTTATAAATTAATCTTTGAACGACAAGAAAAGCCTTATTATATTTGCTTATCACCTTTTAAAACTCATTTCGTCACAAATATCCACTTGAATCCAATGGATTTCATATTTTATGAAAGGGTGCCCGATCTTTTATTTCTAAAGTACTTTTCGATTGAATTTTCGTCCTTGATAGTAATAATAAAATCCATTTTATTATAATGTTAATGGTGATATTTTGATTATATTTGTGAAGATATTGATAGATTTTATTATTATATTGTTGTAGACAGTAAAAAGTGAAAGATGAACCGATTTGGTTTTTTACAAACTGTTTTACGGGGTTAAAAGATGAAAAATTTTCACCAATAAAAAATAAGGCAGCTGTAGAGATTTTGCTTACTTTGAAGATTTCTTTTTTTTACCAAGTCACAAATAGCAATAATAAGATTTTTGACTGATTTGGTAGAAGTAAAAAATCCTGCAACAATCTAAAAGATTCTGAACCTATTTATTTTATTTTTTTTCGGTGTATCACATTGGAGTTGTTGGCTTGACTCCTACTTCCGTGGAATTTTTGTTTGGCAGAAGCATTATAAATTGGCCTTGTGGAGCTTGCAAAAAAATACAACCACCCGCAGCTTTGTTTGGCCAAGTTTTGAAAACCTTTAGTTTTGTTTCTATTTTTCATTTTTTCAAACATTTTAAGATGTTTCTTATCATTATGAGTGGCTAGTTTCTTTATTTTGGTTCAAGGATTTTTATTTATTATATGTGAGACTATAAGTTTCACTTTATTCTTTTCTACTTCAAGTATATGTTGATTTTTATTTATTTTTATGAGAGTTAATTTGTTTAATCTAACAATTTGATTGAGTGTTTTCTTTCCAATGATACCAAATGTTTATGTTGCATATTTGTCTTAAACATTTGGCACTAAATAGCAATTAGTAGATTATTCATGTTGGTAGTGACACGTTGAATGTGCATGGTTAGTCTAACTAGGGAATCAGTACGAAAAAAATATTACAATTGTAGTTATTTAAGTTATTTTGGTTTTTTGTTCAACTACATTTTCAAAGATTTTATTGCCATCACAATTTGATGTGGAATGTTATTTTGCAAGTTAAATTATGATAAGTTTTGATTAGGTGTTAGGTTTGGTCAAATATTTTTGAAAAATATAAGATTTTTTATGGTTATCCTATTAAATCTAAGGTTAAATGCTTGACTTGTAGAAAATTCATTTTTAGTCAACTAGGTGTTAGACCCGTCCGATGGACGGGGAAGGCATACACATATAGACATTTTTATATAAATTTTGTATTTTTATAAAATATGTAATGACTTCTGTTTTAAACATGATTACCTTTGGATTTACAGGAATTTTTTTTTAAATGACATTTTAAATTCACTGGTGATAAGGTTTATACAGATCTCTCTAAAATTTGTTAGGATTTGGTACTCTCTCTAATCAATCTCTGTGTTAGGATTTGGTTCATGAAAATAAGGGTTCAGTTTTTATTATTTTGTTTTTTTTAATTCTTTTTTTTGTTTTATTATTTTATTTTGTGCATTTTTAAGTCCAGGAAATTAAGAAAATGTCACATAGTGGCATGTGCTCCATGCCTTTAGTTTTCTCTCTCTGGTTTTTGTCTTAGTATAGTATATAGATGATCTATAATATCATTGAAAATATTCCTTTAACCAAATTTTTCGTTCAATTAATTTCTCTCAAGTTTTATTTGCTTCAATCTTTTCATTTTTATTTTGAAGAAAGAAATCCCCCCATGTTGTTATTCTTATAAAACTAAGATTTAAAATTCCACTATTTCTAAAAATAAGTTTTGATCTGTTTGGAATTCAGATTAATTTTTGTGTTTCTCGACAAACTCATCAGTCCTTAATGTTTTTCACTCAAATAAATTAGGCTTGATAGTTTTTTTGTTGTTCGAAATTAGTCCTATTCTCTGGAGGCAAAATCTGAAATTTTTTTTCTTATTTTTAAGAAATAAAAATTATAAACTTTCCCCAATTGTTTATAACTTCATCATATTTGCCCCATTTTTTCTAAAAAAATTCAATTGAACCTATTTTTATGTTTAGCACATCAATTTTTTAATTTTACCCTATTTACTTTTATTTCTCCCAATCAATCTTACTATGCAACAACATAGAATTTACTACATTGTCTACCTTATTTTATCTCATTTTTACCACAAACGAACTAACCTGAAATATTCATTTACAGTTGAGATTCTATAACCTAATAGTGTTGGGACCAATAAAATTTATTAATTTAGAGATTTATTAAATAATAAATAAATTATTAAATTATTAATTTATAGAATCTCTATGAAAAAAAAAGAACCGTTACTAAATTTCTTAATTTGTAATTATTTTCACATCCGAATGAATCAAGTATTTAAACTCTTTTGAATACTAAAAGTCCATACGTAGTTCATATCATCTCCAGATACGAAAACATTAGTATCAATAGTTCATATTTTAAAATATTTATAGTTATTACTATTATTTTTTTGCTTTTAGGGTATTTATTAATTTATGATATTCTTAGGACCTATAGATATATAGGAAATTTTCTGAAATATTATTATTTTATTATTTTATCGATTTTTTTTTATTTTTTGTTGGTGCCAAGTTGGGACCGAAGAAAATTATTAATTAGTGGAAATTATTAATTTATAAATTATTAATTTACCGACGTTCTACTGTATTTTTTTCATTAATTTTTTTTTTTTGCTGGCGGTATGCTAAACAAAAACCAACTTGGAAGAAAATGAATAAGTAAATATTTATGAGATTTAGTACTTTGTTTACGGTAAAAATGAGCGAGAATAGAGTAAATAATGTAATAATTTTTATATTTTTAGATAATAAAATTTAATTGGATAGCAAAATTTTATATATTATATTATATATATATATATTTCTATTTAGCTGGGCTAAACGAAACCAACTATCATATATTTTACCATTTTACTCATAAAACTTGGGGATTAGTTTTGCCGCCTGTGAGCTAACTTCATATCTTACTCTGGTGATTGATCTTGGAGGCTTTGAAGAGATTACCTGATTAGCTTTTCGCTTTCCATTTTTTGGGATTTCTTGACTATTTGGCTTTCCTGCAGCGACATTGTTACAGAGTATGAACGCAAATTCCCACCATCATGATCCTGATCAGTGTTATTTGCCACATTCTGATTAGTAATCATATGGCTGTTGTTACTCTGCTCTAGGAAGGAATTGAGATTCAGTTCTGGGTTTTTCGCGGCTGGGACACCATTCTTATTGCGACTATTTCTCTTCTTACGCACTGCAATACAGCTTAAGATTGAATTATCTTGTCAAGATAACCAGAAGGCGCCATTTAAATATGATGACCAGGTTTCCAATTTTCATGATGAAGATGATTAAAATACTTGTTGAGAGCGTTTTTACTTCAAGAAAAGAACCTTCCTGAATCGAAATTGCTTGCAGAATATACTTTAGTAAAAGCTTCTTTTAATCCCTATACCTTATAAAAAAAAAAACTCTAGTGAGATTAAATTCCAATATTTTGATTGGTGGAAAAGTCCGATGGCATAAGCAATTGACACTTCCTTGTAGGGGTTCTCATAAATTTTTTCATTACCAAAAACTTCTTAAATGTTCATATCAGAATTTGATCGGTAGTATCGTTTCGAGAAAAATATAACTATTTATTTATCAGTAGTTACATATTTGAGTTCTTAAGATATAAAATATTATTAATTGATTTTCATCATTTCTATGAGAGTGAAGAAAAAGTAATTCACTAACACATTTGGTAGTGACTGTTAATTTAGTAACTGTTTCTTTTCCTTTTCATTTTCCACAATACGTAGTTGGGAATGCACAACAACAAATACTCCAGTATTTGTTGTGCAATGCCTCTGTCCCATAATTATTGTCCAGTTTGTGTTTTTATTTCTAGTTCAAATTATACTAAAAATGAAATCTAAAAGTAGACAATAATTTTAAAACAGAGGGAGTAGATTGCATCATAATATTTATGCATCAAAGTTCAAATAGAACCTTTATGCATTTATATCACAATGTCTAGCAAAAAATAAATTAATTAATCAAATTAAAATAATTCTAAGGGTTCAAAAGAATCTCGTCTCCAACAAAGGAGACACTAATTTAAGCAGCATTGACAGCAATCTTCATTCCGCCCGTGCTGCAATGAGAACCAATCCCACAAATGAAGTAGTTAAATCCTGGGTTGATGGTTATTCTATCACTTCCCGATGTATATGTAGTCCCTGAAGGAGTGCATGAATCGTAATTAGCCTTGTTTACTTGAACTACGCTGTGGCCTCCTGGAGCGTAGTTGAAAACTGCATGGATATTATATATAAAACCAAAGATATCAGTAAAAATAAGTTAAAATAAAAAGTACAATCGAGAAAAGATGTATTATAATTTATCTCGTCACACAACAGAACTAGATATATATGCCACGTGAGTTTCACATGTTGTAAAGACATCTATACCTAACTATGTCGTGAGACGAGATAGAGGGTCTCAGTTCATATAAAATTTGAAAAAACTTTTACGATAAAAATTTTACATACCAAGAACGTCGCCAGCTTTGAAACTTTTGCCATTTTCCCATCCGGCAATGTTAAAAGACCAACCCGCGGCATCTCCAACAGTCCAGTCAGCGGCGCTACAAATGTTACTTTGTAGTAACAAAGTAAAAATCAAAATAGCGCTGCAAACTACAGTAACTTGTGTTTTCGACATTTTGGTATATTGCAAAATATTTCTAAGGGGAATCAAATGGCAATTTGAGGGATGAATGAACTGAATGCTCCCCGGCCCTACCACCTCTTTATATAGGGAGAAGACCGTACATTGTGGCTTCATTCTTCATAAATTTTGGTTAGTAAGTTAATCATAGAATATGAACCCCCAATGATCAATATTCATATCCTCAAAGTAAGCTTAAGCATGTCCTTAAATGCCTATCAATTTACTTTAATTAACTTACCTTCTATTAAATTAATTTTGAGAGGTAGTTGACTCAAGTGAATATTAAGGCGATTTCAGAACCCTCGGTTGTCGGTTATAAGATGAGACTACTGTATATGGATTCCAAGTCAAACTTCCAAAATAGGGTCTTGGGCGGTTTAATCTAAAGGATGATGCCTCTGATTTTTAATTTTGTTTTAGTTTTATTTCTTATTTACTTCCATTTTATCCCATGTATTTTTATTCTTTTTTTTTTTGGATTTAAGATAATTTTATTTTATAAATTGGCTCTCTATGAAAAAGTTTTGGTGGCTACACCAATTAAATGTGTTTGACATTTAAAATTGATGTTGAGTTTTAATCTAGTGATTAGTAACTTTGAAAATTAATACTCTATCCTTCTGGAAATGATTGTTCCATTAACATTTTTATCTTTAGTAAATTATATTAAAAATGGAAAATCCAAACTAAATATTTATCTTTGGGCAAAGGGAATAATTAGGGAAAATCTATACAACGAAAAAATTTTAAGTATTTTTATGGATTAGCATTAGTGAAATGTCATTTTTATTAACGATCAAAAACACGATTTTACGGTATACAGTTCCACGCTATAAAGGTTACAAAGTTGTGCCTTGAACATTTTGGAAATGGTTAAATTGTAAAATAAAAATATAAAAAAATTATAAAGGGAATCAAATAGGCCATTCTGAAGAAGAAAGTTATTTTCAATCAATCATTTGATTAACAATTCTGAAGTTCTTCCTAGTTTCTCGCCTGCCCATTCGTGGGTAGGGGAGACAAGCATTCTGAAAAATCACTAGTTTGACTCCAAACCAAATCCAAAAAAGAAAACTAGAAAAAGAACAAAAGATCTATTCTAATCATCAGTGGGTTCCTCATCATTGTTGCTAGAACAAGAAGGTGAATTCCATCCTAACGCAAACCAAATCATCTTTCTTGTGCAACATTCCGCAGATAAACTCATCAAATCTAGCGTCTGTTGTTGGCATTTTTCGCTTCCACAATGAACAACAAACCACTTGAATCCTCTTATCAGGTCCTGATCCTGCTTCTCTTCCAGCTTTCTTTGCAGACAATTGACAATGCATAAAGTCCTTTCATTTATAGACAAACTCAGGATTATAGTTTCAGGACAACAAGCTAAGAATGAATCGGCGAAACCTGTAGATGATTCTTCCAACAATACATTCTCATCCAGCTGAAATTCCGATTTCACTTCAATGTGGAGCGATATTTTGGATGGAGCTAAACCTGATAGAGTGTCTTCCATCCTTGGAAACCAGGACTTATCTCTTCTATCAGGATCGTAAAATATGGATACCTCGGTTTTCAGTTGCGGCGAAAAGGATATGAAAGATACTCTTGGGAATACGTTCACATATAGTAAACAAAGATGAAAATCAATGAGGCTCCGGGAATTAACCTTGAGTTGTTGCGCTGGCAGATCATGAACATCCGGCTTGAACTCGAACTTCTCGAGGGAATTACTCGTCAAGTTAAATTCTGCAAAGCCATTGCAAGATATGACAGCCAGGGACCTTAGATGTGAAAGCTTATTCACAACATTGTCGAAAAATAGGTTTGAAAGAGTTGTTCTCATGAACATCAATTTCTGCAGATTTCTATATGATTCCACTCCTTCCACAAAATGTAATCCACACGACCCTCCAAACTTAGCAGCCTTTAGATTTGGTGCATCAATCTCTACCCTCAAACTATCTTCACCGTCACACTGGAAATGTCCAATGTGAAGTTCTTTGAGGCAAGGAATATTAATCAACTTAGCTTTGTCCAAATCTTTACAATTTTCTATCCCCAGATGTTCAATCAGCGGGCAGCTCATGATCAAAGAAGATAAGATATCATTACTTATTGAGACATTCCTTAACATTAAGGTATGGAGGTTCTTACACAATATCTGTTGCGCCTTCAGCTTGTCAGGAAACTTGCAATTTGTGAGTGACAACATTGTTAAAGATTTAGCTCCAAGAATGCAATCCGGTATAATGTAGTTTGAAGGACAACAATAATAAGGACAGCAACCAATACTAAGAATAAGCTCTCTAACTCCATTCCCAACAGCTGTGGTGAGCCATTTATCCAGCCGAGCCGGATCGACATCAGCATGATCATCAGGAATGAAATCCGTGACTATTTTCAACTGATAAGGCAGCGGAATCCCTCCAAACGTGTGTCTCAACAAAGTGTTTTCAACATCCTTAACCTCAACCGGATCAAAGCTCAACGTTGGGTACGTATCCACAGCATCGGACCATTCTTCGGATAAATCACGAGTTGTTTGTTTGTCGTCTTCGCTTAGAAAAGACAGTATACGATGAGTAATGCCTTCTTGCAATGACCCGAATCCGGCTCTGTTTTCTTCTTCCGTAGCCATCGCAATAGAATTTCGAGAAACTGTAAAGTTGTGTATAATAAGGATTATACTTTACGACACAATCTAAACCCTAACCAGCTTGAACTTTATTTATAGGCCGCTGATAAATCCAGAGTGATTTTCTTTATATCCAGGGATTTATTTTTATTTTTTTTCAAATCCTATTCTACCTTTCCTAAGTAGATTAAAATCCGGTTTAATCCACCGTCTATGCCACTCCCCTGATTTATCCCGGATTTCAGATGGATATTTGGGCAAAATGTCACAAGTGCAGGGATCGGTTTTGTGTTTCCAGAAATAGAGGACTGAATCTGGTATCCAATATATGTTCGATTTTCTGAAACCTGATTTATCCTTCTATTTTCTTGACAAACTTTGATTGAATTTGGTCATGTGTCTAACATTCAATGTTCCCAAATTTTCAAAAATCAACAATTCCTACTTGGAAAATTTTTTAACCAAATCTTTAATTACAAGATTTTTTAAATTTTATTTATTAGTATTTGGTAATCTCCATTAATTCGAGTATTTCCGAGTTGGTTCGTTTGACAAAGGGACTTGTATAATAAAGCTATCACCATAGTAAAAATCATGTCATGAACATATAAAAATGATTAAAATATTTGTTAAAATAATTTTATCTTACAAAAAGAACATGTCCCACTCGAATAGAAACTAGTCTGAGTATAATATATATGTGCCGGTTTAAGAGATTAAATCGTCCAAATGTCCTGTACAGCTGGGTAAAAATAAATTTTATCCTGTACATTCGAAAAAGTATATTTTCGTCTCATTTCATCCGAAAAATGCAAGATCACAACATGCAATATCACAACATTTTACGTCCCAAATTAATATTCTGTCCAAAGGATCATCAAACGACAGGGGTATTTTTTAGGTTTAATTGCCCGTCTTTTGGTTTTCTGGTAATTAAGAGATAAATAGTAATTAAAAAAATAAAAAAGAATTAAAAATATTTTTAAATTCAAAAAAATCAAAAAAACCAAAAAATAAGTTTTTTATACCCTTTTACCGGCCAAGGTCTCAGTAATTAAATTTATTACTGTTATTTGCTACAGTAAACCGTAAATATAATAAAAAAATGAAAAATTTCAAAGTTAAGAAATTAAACAAAGTTGGCTCCAACTGCCAGACCGCTTTTTTTTTTTTTTTGCTGAGTTACGACAGTAAACTCTAATTTTTCTTTTGTCGAGTTGACTACATGATTTATTTATTTTTTTCAGCCAACCTTTTCAACTTTCCAAATCCATTTCATCAGATCGCGAACCCTAAAATATAGAGAACCCTAAATTAGCCCCAAATCGCAAATCTTAAAATAGAGAGAGATGGGCTAGAATTCGACCGTAAGTGATCGATTAAACCTGATTTTCTGCAAATCGAGTGAATCGGACTTTATCCGATGGCGAACGAAGGCTAATATCATCCAACCCGATCATAATATAGGTGAGTTTAGGATTTAAAATGTGATTAATTGTTGTATGGGACCTTGTCAATAGTTTGTTCTTTGTCTCTATGTTAATCGAAAAAGAAGTAGAACAGTGTGCTTTTTAAAATGTACAGAACGAAAGTGTGTTTTTGCCCAGATATACATGACGTTTTGTGCCGTTTAATCTAGTCTAATCTACGCAAAGCCCTGTTGCTATGTAGGAAACTTGGTCTGTCAAATGTTTCTCGTGCACTTGCTCAACTTGCAAAGAACTCAAAGTGTGACTTAAACTCTCCGGTCTAGCCCTCTGATTTCATTGCGCAACTCGCTTAGTATATATGCAAGGATCTTGGATTAGATGATTCCATTAGTCCCTGAAAGTTACCTTTACCCTGAAGAAGAAACACATTACACATGTATAGAGTTCCTTCCGATAAAAGCAATGTTCAGAGCCTTAACCAGGGCCAAAAAAACATCCATTTTTCAATCAACCATGCATGAATTACTAGAGCATTCAAAGAGTAGTTAGATAGTCATTCCTCCTAATGCATTGACAGTTCCCGCAAACATTCTAGGAGGAGAGCAAAAACAAAGTTTACAATGACTTCAACTGTTTCCACCACATATTCAATACTAAACTTTAAACAAAACAGGACAACTTTAGATTCTGATGAATGTCTTCTGCAGTAAAGATTTTACACAGCTTTAACACTTGATAAAACTTCCAGCAATCTCATCTTAGTTTTCTCTTCACTTCATGGTTCTCACATTTCTTTGAGAGTGTTCTCCAATCATGATGACACTTCAGCCTCATTGTTGAAGTGAGCTTCAGTGGAGTGCTGAATAATCAAAGACCCAAAGAAGCTATCAGATATTAGATATATCCCATGTAATGGCTCATCGTTTGGCAACAAATCAAGACTGTATTAAGGGCACAATACAGCATATGTTCAATCTACTGAAATACTAAAAATGGATCAGGCAAGAGCTAGTCAACAAGACAAACTTGAATAAAGGCTACATTGTACTAAAACAGTAAGAATGGATCAAGCAAAAAGTTCAACGAATGACCTGCGAAGGATTTTTTATGAAAGGCTGATTGAGAGGATTAGCCGAATAAACAGGATCAGGGATGTCTGCCCAATTCCTCCACGCCTCAATCACCTCCGGCAAAACAACCTTAAAAGTAGTACTGAGGCAGGAAACCAAAAGCGACAAAGGATGTTGGGGATACATAATAAAGGCAACAGCAAGGTTGAAACTCCCAAAACAATCAACCAAAGAAAAATCTTCCTGCCAGCCGAATAGAGCCAGAGCAACATAAACAGACCAAGTGATGATCAACAAGGGAACAAATGCAGATGGTTCAGGCTGCATCACATTTTGCAAACAGGTAGAGCCCATAGGAAACAGGGCCACCAGAATCGCTTTTATCCCCACGCTTACCCAGTTACCAACATTTTCATTCCTGATCAAGATCTTTCCCACCATGAAATGCAGTAAACCAATTAAGGCACAGAGCAGAATACAAGCCAGCCAAAACAGGAAAGCAGTCAGAATCGTAAATTTTAGATTCAGTTCACAATCGATGCCTTTGAAACCAGTCAGGGTGTAGCAACTCAATTTAAGACCATCCTGAGTATTGGATATGAAAGAATAAGACCCAAATGCCAGAAGAACCAGACAAACAATCGAGAACACCCAAGTTGGAATTCCAAAGATAAACCTAGACAGAGTCTTGAGTTTCTGCAACAACCCCCAATCAAACCAAGAAACCCTAGTCCGAGGTGATTGAACGCCTGAATTCTGCCAATAATTTCGGACAGCAGTGACTGAATCCCCAATACAAGCTCTCGCCCTCGCTAAGCAGCCCACCTCGGCACCACCCACCTCCCGATTTCCGCCACCCCGGTTGAAATTGGGGTTAAAACTCAATCCACTAAAATTCAAACCCATCTTCTTTACCTTTGTTAGCTGAGAGCTTTTTGAGTCGGAAAATGGAAATTTCGGCTAATCCATTTCCGGCGAGTGTCTGTCAGTGGTTTCTTTTTTCCGTTCGGAGGTGATGGGTGGAGCGATATGGTGGTGGTGGTGGGGGTGGGGTATGGGTTTTAGAGAGGTTTCGGCAGTTAGTCTCCGCCGTGCAAATTACGAGGCAAAATAATTTTGATTATTAAAAATTAGATTAATGGTTACAACAAATTACAGTGAGAGTTTGATCGCAAAATAAAATGGTTTTTCCTAACTACGTACTACAATGTTATAATCTTGATGCCTATTGAGATCTATTATTATAAGACTAATATTATTGCTAGTTTGATTTAACTTCTTGCGACAAATGTGATTTTCTTCTCATTCACTCTAGATGAATTGAAGAGCAAACATCTAGGGTTTCTAAAGAACAAGCTAGAAGCTCAGTTTGGAGAAAAGTATTCAAATATTGAATCTGGGAAGAAAAATGATAATCAAATGCATTAACTCTATCTGAATGTGTATATATACAGCATTACTCCTTTAAGTGACTTATAGTAAATGACTAAAAAGTCCTGCATTTTAAGTCCTACATCTATTCAATCAGAAAGGGTAAAAACGTAACAAGCAGCTATACAAAGTTCAATTAAACTAAGAACTAAACCCGATTCTCTCAACCCGGATCAAGCTTATGAATCAGAGAAGCATTTTCCAGATTCTCTTCATCCCCTCCGCAAGCTGAAAAGTGGTGAAGTCTCTTCGCACCAAGCTTGGACAGTAACTCCGAAAACTGAGGAAAGGCTAAGGATTTTGTGAACAAATCAGCAATCTGTTCACGTGTGGAAATGTGCAAAGGAACCAAGAAACCTTTCAGATACTGTTCTCTAACAAAATGACAATCAATGTCAAGATGTTTGGTACGCTCATGGAACACTGGGTTCTCTGTGATGTTTATAGCTGCCTGATTATCACACCATAATGGTATTGGTAAATGTAAAGGAACCTGGAAATCCTGAAGGAGATAAGAAATCCAGATCATCTCCTTGCTGGTGATGCTCAAACTTCTATACTCAGCTTCAGCTGAAGAACAGGAGATGGTGGTCTGTTGTTTGGACTTCCAAGAGATTAATACAGAACCAAGGAAGATGCAATAACGGGTGAGAGATCTTCTGTGAACTGGATTAGTCTCCCAATCTGAATCTGTATACACTTCCAACTTAAAATCAGACTGTGAAGGATAAAAAAGGCCAGTTGTGGCTGTCCCTTTGAGATACTTCAAGGTGTGTTATGAGAGCATTACAATGATCCATACAGGGAGAATGGACATGCTTGCTAAGTTGTTGAACAGCATAGGACAAGTCAGGCCTAGTAAAATTCAAATAGAGCAGTTTACCCACTAATTTTCTGTAAAAAGAAGCAACAGATATGGGTGGTCCATAGTCTTCTCCAAACTGATGTCCTTTCTGTAGTGGTGTAGTAGTAGGTTTGCAACCAATCAAACCTGTTTCTTGGAGGATATCCTGAATATATTTCTTCTGGTTAAGATACATACCTTCTGGTGATCTAGCAAGTTCAATCCCTAGAAAATACTTGGCATAGCCAAGATCCTTGATGGTAAAAGTCTGTTGTAAGAACTCTTTAACCTGAATGATAGCTGATTCATCTGATCCTGTTACAAGAATGTCATCTACATAGACAATAAGAGCAAGAAAAAGGGTTCCCTTCTGCATGATAAATAAACAAGGATCATGCAAAGACTGATTAAAACCATATGACTGAATTTTAGCAGTAAATTCAGCATTCCACTGTCTGGAAGCTTGCTTCAAGCCATATAAAGATCGTTTTAACCTGCAAACTTGACCTGGTTTAGCCAATATATAACCATCAGGTGGCTTCATGTACACCTCTTCTTCTAAATTACCATGAAGGAAAGCATTGTTAATGTCTAGTTGATGGAGAGGCCAACTGTGAGCAGAAGCAAGGGCTAACAAAATTCTAACAGTTACAATCTTTGCTACAGGAGAAAAACTATCATAAAAATCTTCCCCTTCAACCTGATTATAACCTTTTGCCACCAATCTAGCTTTATATCGTTCTATAGTTCCATCTGAATGATACTTTACCTTGTAAACCCATTTAGAGCCAATGGCTTGCTTTCCTGATGGTAAATATGTCAATTCCCAAGTATGATTTTGTTCCAAAGCATTTAGTTCATTAGTCATTGCTGCAATCCATTCTGGACAATGTCTGGCTTGCATATAGGTTTTGGGTTCAGTGATAGTGTCTATTTGGGACAAAAAAAGACATGTGATCATGAGAAAATACTGGCTGATAAGAATAAGTCTCTTGCTTACTATGAGCTAGCAAAGCATTGGAGTGTTGTGAAAGTGAAGATTTTCCTTTTACATGCTGAGAAACATAATCCTTCATCCATATTGGATCACTGGTATGTCTAGTGCTTCTCCTAAGAGGAGGTGGATCAGGTGAAAGAGGCTGAATGACAACAGGTATGTTCTGTGAAGAATTACGATCTGTATCAGAATCTAGAAGAGGAGAAGTTTGAGATGAATTATCTGAGCTATGAGATGGAGAAGAATGATCAACAAGAATGGGAGAATGATTATTAGAAGATGATAAAGAAGAAGGCCAATCTTCTTCAATGACAGGAAGAGATGGTTGTGAAATATGAACCTCCTTAGTTTCAGGAGTAGAAGGAAATATGCTCTCATGGAAAATCACATCCCGGGATATGATAACTTTGTGGTTGACAGGATCAAAGAGTTTATATGCTTTCTGTCCAGGTGGATAGCCTATAAAAATACATCTAGTGGCTCTAGGTTCAAATTTTGCTTTGTGGGGGATAGTGTTGGTTGCAAAGCAAAAGCAACCAAAAGTCTCAAATGAGTATAGTCTGGTGGTTTGGAAAATAGAATTTCATAAGGCGTTTTCCCTTGAAGCACAGTAGAAGGAAATATATTGATTAGGTAAGTAGCTGTCAAAATAGAATCCCCCCAAAAAAATTTTGACAGACCGGATTGAAACATCAATGCTCTAGCTATTTGAAGGATGTGTTTGTGTTTTCTTTAACAACACCATTTTGTTGTGGTGTATATACATAGGATTTTTGATGTAATATGCCTAAGTCTGAGAATAAACTTTGGCAATCTTGACTCAGAAATTCCATCCCATTGTCACTTCTGATGGTTTTGATAGAGGTTTGGAAATGATTTTGAGCAAATTGAATGAAGGTTTTGAGAGCGGTGTAAACTTGTGATTTTTCTCTCATCAAAAAAGTCCAAGTGGCTCTACTAAAATCATCTACTATAGTTAAGAAATAATGAGCACCACATAGAGATTTTTTACTGTAAGGACCCCATATATCAATCTGTAGAAGATCAAAAATTTTGTCACTATGAATCACACTGGTTGGAAAAGGTAATTTGTGTTGTTTTGCTAATGGACATATCTCACATATAGAAGTGTTTACATCTGATGGATCAAACAAAGAAAGCATCCTTACAATCTTCTCAGATGGATGACCAAGTCTAGTGTGCCAAATGGCATTATTCAGGCTATTTACATGATTCGAAGAATGATATGGAAAACTGTCCACTAAGGGTACAAAAGGGTGATTAACATGATTCCTAATGAACTCTAAGATTTTTCCTTTGGAGAAGGACTGATGATCAACAATGTAAAGATGGTTCACCACCTTTCCAATAGCCATTAGTTGCCTAGTCACTTGGTCCTGTAACAGGCAAAAAGTGGTAGAAAAATAGCAATCAACCTTTGAGGATGATGCTAACTTGCTCACAGAAATGAGGTTGTGTTTAAAAGAAGGTATGTGTAAACAATCATGTAATGTGAAGTGATTTCCTAGATTGACTGAACCAATGTGCTTAACCTGTTTAATATTACCATCAGGTAAATACACAGGTGTCAAAGAGTTTACTGGTTTGTAGAGGGATAAAAGTTGTAAATCTGAGGTCATATGGCTAGTTGCACCAGAGTCCATTATCCAACAAGAAAGCAGTAAACAATCTAATGAATTCAATGCTCTGAAAGTGGTCATACCTGCAAAATCCGAGTAGTGTGCAAAGTTGATATGATCACTAGTCTGAGATGTTCCTTTTCCTTTGGTGATTCTGCTTAGCTCTTGTTCCATCCTCTAATGTTGTTCATCATGCCTAGCAATTCATCAGACCCTCCAACTCCTGAGCCTGCATTCTCATCAATTGGTGATTCAACCATATGTGCAAAATCCTTCCTGCCTGTGTACTCATTTGTTCCTTCAGTACCTAGAACCAATCAGGATAACCAATAAGTTTGAAGCATCCTGATTTCAGATGACCATTGATACCACAGTGTTCACACTTCAGTAGCTTTCTTGCAGCCTTATCTAATCTAAGTTCATTCTCCTTTTCAATAATGCTATAGCTATTTCTCAGTTGTCCATTTGTATTTCTTGAGTTGCTGTTACCAGGTTTATGGCTTTTATTGGTATTGTTGCCATGAAAATAGGGCTGACAATCTCTGACACGACTCGGAATTTCGACACGAACCTGACACGAAATGACCCGACACGAACACGACACGCATATTAAACAGGTCGGGTTAGGGTTGGAAATTTAGACCTATTTAATATACGGGTCGGGTTAGGGTCAACCCGGCGGATTACCCGGGTTACCCGCGAACATGTAAATTTTGTATACTATAGGGGCAATTTCGGAATTTTGTAACAAAATAACCCTAATTTTACCCCATATATATACCCCTCTTCCATCTCCCTCAGCCACTCTTCTCCTTACTCCTTTGTTTTTTCTTTTTTTTCCTCTCTTCCTCTGCCTCTCGCTCGGCCGGCGGCCGCTCTTCTCCTCTCTCCTTTTTTTTGTGTTTCTTTTTCTTTCTCTCTTCCTCTCTCTCTCGCTCGGCCGGCGGCCGCCTCTTCTCCTCTCTCCTCTTTTTTTTGTGTTTCTTTTTCTTTCCTCTCTTCCTCTCTCTCTCGCTCGACCGACGGCCGCCTCTTCTCCTCTCTCCTTTTTTCGTTTCTTTTTCTTTTTTGTTTTCTTTTAATTTTTCCTTCAATTGAAACCTTTCCGGAAAGATCTGATAAATTAGGCATCTGATCTGTGACTTTCTCTGTGACTTTCAATCTGATCTGTGACTTTCTTTGTGACTTTCAGTCAAAAAGCTCTGGCGTTCGGGCGGCGAGTTGCTGCGGGAATGCAGTGAAGAAAAATATGATTTTAGTTTTCAGAAATTTTAGTATTGGTTCCGTATTTTTTTGTTTTTCTATATAGCAGAAGTTTGTAATTTGGATTTAATTTTGTAATTAGAATACTGGTTCTTTACTTGTTTGGACTTTGGATCAAAGTGTTGTAATTTATGTGATTTGAAACTGGAATTTTCAGATTTTTTTAGAACTGCAATTTTAGTTTTTCTTGATTTTAGATTTTTTTTTTTTTAGA